TGAGCTGTGATGCCACAGCACTCTACCCAGGGGGATAGCTTGAGGCTCCGTCTAAAAAAAAAAAAAAACAAAATCCAGATATAGGGCAGTGCCTGTGGCTCAAAGGAATAAGGCGCCGACCTCATATGCCAGAGGTGGTAGGTTCAAACCCAGCCCTGGCCAAAAACTGTAAAATAAAGATAATAATAATAATAATCATCCAGAAATAAAAATGGCATAGTGTAAACAAACAAAATTATTGTAAATCTAGAAAAAGGGCAGTAGTTCAGCAAGAATTCAGCTTTTTTGGTCCAGCAGAACTCTACCTCATGAGGTCAGTATGCTCTAGATGGTCTCCCATCTAGAAATTCTGGGGACAGAGACATCTGGAAAAGGTGGAAAGAATAGAAGTGAAAGTATAAAGTATGAAAAACACCTTGTCTTGTTGAAGTAGGAGCACCATAAAGAATTCATTAATCCATGAAGATATTATTTAAGAAAATATATGGTTTTTCAGGCTCAGCGCCCGTAGCACAGGGGTCATGGCGTCAGCCACATGCACCAAGGCTGGCAGGTTCGAACACAGCCCGGGACAACTGCAACAAAAAAATAGCCAGTCATTGTGGGAGGCTCCTGTAGTCCTAGCTACATGGGAGGCTGAGGCAAGAGAATCACTTAAGCCCAACAGCTGGAGGTTGCTGTGAGCTCTGACAGCACAACATTCTACTGAGGGCAACATAGTGAGACTGTCTCAAACACACATTTTTTCAGTGCCTAGAGTGCTTGGGCCCCATTCCTGGCTCCATTCCAGGACAGGAAGGGCCATAATGACTGAAATGGAAACAAAGGCTCTGTAGGGGCTTCAGTTCTAAAGCAGCTGTTAGAAACTTCCAGTAGAACTCAAGATCATGGACTAAGAGATGAAATGGAGCAACTAACTCTCAAGGGAGTAGGATATCAATTTTCTTCTGCTAGGGAAGATTCAAAAAGTACCAAAAATAGGGAAAGGCTTAAATTGAGGTGACAGTGGACAGCATTGTTACTTAGGTAAAAGTATAAGGAAACTTTGGTTTGGAGTGAGGGGGGATTAATATCACACTA